GCTATGATTTAGTTGGGCGACACACCGCGTGTTTTTTTTCAACCTTTGTCGTGATGGATGTAAATCTTTCACCAAATCTGTACATTTTTGTGCTCAGCTGACAAGAACACTATATCTTTTTAAAGCGTCTGATTTTGTTTTTTATTCTCAAGGAAGGAATTTTTCCATTTTTCCAGTTCCATGTTTACACATAATATTGCATTTTTCCCGCCATACGTCTCTCTATTCACGGTTTAGGCTATTCATGGAATGTTTCTGCGTGGTAAAAAATGAAAGACAAGGTCGAGGACCAGTAAAGCCAGAACGTGATGCTTTACATCACCTCTTAGTATGTGCGCATACTACCTGGCAAACCAAACTTTCTGTGTGATATTGTATGATTTGATATTTTCGATAATAAACATATCTTCAGCGTATGAAAAACTGGCGCTACTGGACCTAAACATGCTGTAAACACTTGTCCATACATAAGAAACTGCAAAAACTGTCCCGCTGACTTATCAACGCCTCAAATTTGAACAAATGATTCCAGCTCTAGCATACCATTGTCGATTAACGTCTGGTGTCATTCTTGCGTTAAAAGTGCTTCAGCATGTCCTTATTGTCCTTACCGAATTCCATTTTCCAATCGTTAAATCGTTAAGTTCACACCTTAGTGTTATCAAAGCCTTTGATAACACCCAGGGTGTTAAATTAACGCCACAGTTTTCACAGTGAACCAGTTAGGATATTGAGAAATGTAAAAGCAAGTCAAACAATTCCAAGGGCCCTATCTTCTCCTGTTACCCCGTCGGTGCCTCCTTCATAATAAACATCGACTTGGGGAAACATTGCCGTTTGTTAGGAGTCTTCTTATTATGAGGGCCCCAAGGAGGATATTACTGACAATTTTGAAAGATGCTTAAACGCTTTGAAAATCCGTGAGAAGTGACAAAATCATAGTCTTGATTCAAAATGGGAGTGGATAAGTGGATGCCTGCGGAAGCTAGCTTCTTTCCATTTCTACCTATGATTTCATTACTTTGAAGTAACGAACGACTGGCCGTATATAGGTATAGCCTTTGCAAATGTAGAGCTTGCCTTTTCATCGATTCCTTCACATTTCCTCTTTTGTTAGAACACTATTAAAGATTAAAAGCGAGCACAAACGGTGGCAGAAATGGTGGTCTTGAACAAACCGCTGTCAAAATGCAGTCGTAAGTTGAAAATTACACTTACCTTCTTCAAAGTCCGGTCAAGATGTTAGATTAATTCCGAAGGAAATGGGTTCGTTGGAGGATTCTACATGTGAGCTGTAGAAAGTGAAGTACTCCACATAGATTCGATGGCTATCGATTGCACCCCGCAAGCTTTATACCGCTCCTGCTATCCACGCCAAGATCTCCTTTGCTATCACTGTCAGCACCACCAAACATGAGAATATATCATAGGCAGAGAAGATGAAGTGTTTATTCACAACAACTGAAAGGGCGGGAGAGACTTTGCGATTGCCAGTGAGTTCTACGGCACTTGGGGCGGTTGTCATGTAAGTCAACCAGCCACGGAACGATACTCCAGCGCTGAACGGTTAACCGACTGATTGTATCAACGCTGAACGATCGCACCAATCGCGGCGAAGTAAATGGCTCGGCCACGAGAGTAGAACGCGCAGACTCACTTAATACAGTGAACTTGGCAAAAAGCACGCCCCACTTTTAACGTTTTAATGCGGGCTGGAGCTTCACTAGTGATGAGCGAGGCACCAGGTTCATAACAGTATAGACGTACGCTCAGATCTCTCCGGTTAGATGGCAACGGGGAAAGTGTGTGCGTACGAGGCACGTGTGTTCAGAATAGCGATCGATCACGGTCATTGGACAGAATGGATTCGTATTATTGGTGCTGAAACGGAATGCTCTACGGTAAAAATCAATTCAGGCAACAACCTTCCGAATTCGAAGTATCTTACTTTGTATGCGCTCGTCAAAAATAATGCCCACCCGATAATTTTCCGAACGGCTTCTAAGGAGTACACATGCGCAATGACGTACTCGCTGTCTCCACCACCTTCGGCCTGATGCCAAGGCTCAGGTTGCACCATGAAGACAACATAGACCCAGTATAGTAGCGCACCCAGGTTTTGGGTCCAGGGGCCCGGGAAGGCAAATGGGATTTTCTTTAAAAATGATTGGCATTGTTTTCTCATCGATAAAAAAATCTTCATTCCTCTTCCTAGAAAGATGATTGTGGCGCATATTCTCCACATGGCAATCCCTGTCCTCTGTATACACAATTGTGTAGATCTCACACTAGTCCAGAAAAAAAAACAGGATGAAATGCAAGTGGAAGGTTTTCAGTTAACCAACTTCAAATTTCATTCAAGTACTCCAAACAAACTTTAATGAGAGACATGAACTTTTTAAAATTAGATTTCATTAAGTGCGCAGCTGAAAAACAAATTAACTGTTTTTAAACCGGTGTTGATAAAACATTTATTTAGTTCAGTTGGCCTTTAGTCAGATTTTCCATCCAAGCTATGGCAAGTTTTAGGGCAAAGATGAAGTATTTTAAAGCCTATTTCAGGTAAAGATGGACTCTTTTGTGCTTTTGCTTATTTATCGCCTTTGCTCATTTATCGTCATATCTCATTATTGATTCTGAATGTCCCTGTTGATCATTTCATCACTAAAAAGTCTGGTGGTGATCAAAATTATCTTAGTACTATCGGATTTTATATTATATTGATTTCATTGCTTTTCAAGCTGCTCAAGTTTGTTGTTCTTGAATTCCACATGTAACCCATCTCCCCCCCAAATTCCCAAATCCAGATTTTGAGGTTTACTACCGGTAAGCTTTTGATGCAGAACACCCTTAATAATGGCACTACGGAACCAACCCACACTCTCCGGTGCTGTGAACAATTAGTTCGCGGCGGTAGATCACGAAGGGTAGGAGGAAGTTATGAGGGAAGCGGTAGAGAAGCCGCTGACGTCACATCCGGCAATCTAAATTATACACCGAATAAGTCCATGTATGTTGGGATTTGTTTCGAGGATTGTTTTCGTTGTTAGCCCGTGGCAAGAATCTTACGGGTGTTTCCGCTGAGCTTGGCTGTCGTCACACGGGGGAGACAGCCGATTTACCAGGCCTCAGCTTCGATTGTAAAACCGCAACGTGCATGGGGCTTGTGTTGCCGCTTTTAATGAAATGGAAAATAATGTGATTACGACAGAGCGTATTTCGCATCGGGGGCTTTTTGTGTTTCATGGTCGAATGGGAATTGGTTGTTAATAATTGCTATGTTCATTTATTGCTTAGATCAGTCAGTATCAATATTTCGTTCTTTTTTTATAAAATTCAATGTATATTTAGGAAAATAGTAAAAACATTTTTTTAACTATTCACTCACTCGTAATTTCGTAACTTTCAAACGGCGAAAAATAAAGAAATGCCCAAAGAATATGTCGGGGTTTTTCCAGCATTTCACATTAGGGCCTATTCAGGTTGAGCTATTACCGAACCATTTCTCACGAGATTCAGTTTTTTTGGGTGAGTTTGAAATGCTGGGGGAAAAGTTTCTTAGAGCCAAACCTATATGACATTATTGCTTAAAAACATCATTTATTGTTCACCATTAAATTCAAAATCGCTGTGATAGACACGGGACCGGACAGTGATGGATTACGACTTGTTCTATGATACAACAAAGACGACCAAGTAGAGACTACATGCTACAATCAAAGTTGTCTTTAAAATTCTTTGACTGTAAAAGCCGAGTTTTCAGTGAAAGTTGACCCCTGGTGGCGCGCTTCCCGAACCCTTAAGTTGGATAAGAAAAATAACGCGCAAAAATGTTAGAATTTGTAATATGTTTCCGTTAAGTTACTTCTTAAAAACCGTATTCGTGAAAAAGGCCTTTGGTGAAATGTCTGCTAGTATATCGATTTATGGAGACGGAAAAATTACCTGACCTAAAAGAGAAATATCCTGCCAAAAAATGACCCTTCACTTCCAGAATTATACTTTATACTAGTCTCTCGGTAAAGCCAAAATAAAAATAGACCAAAATATCGTAAGGATTTTGTAATTTATGAGGAAATAAACCTCAAGCAATAATCTGCTTTTATCAAAGATTCTAATGTATATTCTAACCTTTGCTGACAAGAACTGTGTCAGGTCAACTGGACTAAATCTGGAACCCATCGACTGCAGATTGGGAAATCTTTGCAACGTTTATTTGTACAGTCTCGTTTCCATGTAAGTACGGAGAATTGAAACAAATGTGCATGACCAAGGAGACCTAGGACGATACTTCCGGAAGTGAAATGTTGTTGATGAAATTCGTTAGTTACCCATCTCCATGTGACTTTTCCAAAAAAAATACTTGAGGAGGACAAAGGGAAAATTCTGACATGAGTATTTCTTGAGATGGATTCATTTAGAAATAATTCTTCCCCAAATGATCGAACGTGATACAGAGGCCCGATGTAAAATCCCCACAGGCGGACCGCGCAAGGGTTCCGGAAGCTTGCTGCCTGACCTTTTACTTTCAGGCCCTATTACAGTTCAAACTGGCTGACGTCTGGATGTGTTCTCACATCCCACTGAATATTTTCTCCACCCTAATTAGTTGGACTAGGCAACTCGTTTTAGAGTGTTTCTTGTGACGTACAAAGGCTGCATTGTATTTCAAGTCTTTTCGTCCACTATTGTTTCGAAACTTGTCGCGGTATGTTTTTCATTTTATATTTAATAAAGATGATATACTGTACATAATTGTGTCCCACACCTAGAAGTCAGCCAAACGATTTAATCTCCAGTAAGTTTTGTTACAGTGGTTTCCTGGAGTCTAATTTCAATAAAGTTCTTAAAACCACTCGCATAATTAAATTTTATTTCAACCTTTCGTGAATAATAAAAGCCGTCCCTGGCCCAGATCTTTGTTTCCGATTCAAATCTGAAACGGGGGCGCCCTGCAATTTTACCGCTTTAAAACTCCTGCAAATGCCATCTTTCAACAGGTGGCGCCCTTTGCATGCGGGACAAAATCTGTGAAAGTCGACTGGACGAGCAGACGACAACCCGGATCTGACAAAAGGTGAAATTTTCGTGGTAATAATGTACTTTGCTTGAACTGTCGAGCCCAAATTCTTAAAGATTTTGTCAGTGTTTGTTGTTTTTATAACAAGTTTGACTGTCTAATTCGCATTTATTCAACAGAAAAGCCAGTGGCAGTGTATTGTTTGTAGGCCCTAACGTTAGAGTGCTTGGCTTGCATTTTTTGAACCGTGAAACACGTGTCGTATGACAAGGCCTATGTACAAAACGTCGACGGCCAAATTAATGAACAAAATGCAAACACTTGTGTGGGTTAGCCTGCTTGAATTCTACCTGTTTTTAATGAACTGTTTTTTAAAAATTTTTGTTTGTTTTCATCTTTGTACTGGATAGGCCTAGCTTCTTGTGTCGATGATGGGGAGCGTGCGTTGGGCATTCCGTTTTGGTTCTTGGAAACCCACACAGGCTGAATGGACTCTGGCATCTAGGTGTATACAGCAGGAGGAAAAAGACAAGATCGGCAAATTTGTCTTCAAGAAAGATGGCAAGGCCTCAATGGTAAGATGTCAACAGCTGCTCTTCTTAGGCTGTTTGAAATTAATTGTTATTATATCCACATCACTGCCCACCATGCCCAGGCTAATTTTCATACCTTCCCCAATTTTTTACACTGAATTTTGTTCAGTGTTGTTTTTTCTTTGAATAATGCATTTTCCAGACAAAGTTGTCACCAAAGTGGCAGGCACAGTGGTGTCTTCATGGAAACAGCAAAAGGACCAGTCCTAAGCAAAGCATTTTGATTGGAGAATTTAAAACTAGCTAGGCCTACTGATATGTGATGAATGGCCGTAGCACACTATAGCTGTAGCTGCTGCCGACTAATTTTTTATATTAATGCCATACATCATTGTGTTCTCGTGGTCAACATGACGTCATTACAGCCTGATAATGCCCCGCAAAGGGAAAAACTTTCCCTCATGCTGTTGCGCAAGACTGTATAAATTTGACATGTTCACTGCTATTTTGTAATTACCTTACCAACAGGGTTCTGTCTTTTAATGTATTGAAGTGATATACAGCAAATATGTGATCTCTTGAGCATCCTTTTTTTCCCCTCAGCTTTGCCCTTTGTAAAGAAACATTTAATGGATCACCTCAGTAGGCCAGTGTTACTCTGCCACCTGAAGTATTCAGTCTTTGTGTACTAAAAATATTAGCTGGTAAACAACCTTTTATGCATCACACACCACCAAGAAAGTTCCAAAAGTACACAATAGTGAATACATCTTCTTTTCACCTCCAAAATCTCATTTCATTCATACCATTCTGCATTCACATTAATGATTTTAGTATTCTAAAATATTTCTGTGAAAATTCACAAATGTAGCCGCATTGCTGTATAAACTTGTGTCTTTGCCAAGGTTGGAAGGCTCCTCATCCGAAAAGTTGTTGCAGAAACCTTGACATTCCCCTGGAAAGAGATCAGCCTTGCAAGAACAGAGAAGGGCAAGCCCTACCTCACCAATGAGAACATCGCAGATCCTGATTTCTTCCCTAATTTTAATTTCAATGCATCACATGCTGGGGACTACACTGTGTTGGCTGCTGAGCCTGAGTGGCTGTGTGGGGTGGATGTCATGAAGGTTGAGGCACGAGGTGAGTCTAGTTGTGATACACGTGTACAACAAGATATTGAGGTTATTTCCTCTCTTCAGGGCTGGGTTGCGTTGGGTTGGGTTTGCTGTGGGGTTATGGCTCATGCAAAGAGAAGAGCATGTTGCAGGCGTGACTGGTTGCTCAAGTGTTGCATCACGCACAAATATTGCACAAGTCCACTTGACCAGCGCCTGAGTGAATGTGAGTTGTGGTATTTATCATTGACCAGCAGGGCTTGCCCTTTATTTTTTCCGACAGTAGCCCGCTGGGCTAGTAAATTGTGATTTTTACTAGCCCGCAGAGATTTGTACTAGCCCGTGAAATGTGTAAAAAAACAATGAAAGCAGTTGTTCATGGTTGGCTAGAAATCACTGCCGCTGGTAGTGAAGTCAGGATATTCTTCCTCCTCGCTGTCACATCATTAGTCTTGGTCCACCAAGACATTTCTATCAACCGCTATTACATTGGGTGATTGCGGGTCGTGGGTAGACTGGTTCCTGTTCCCTACTCACTCACCAGGCATGATTGTCCAATGAGGGGCTTGCGATCAGTGGTATGAGGAAGTCACTTACAAACCGGATTGCACCAGTCTATGGAAGTAGTATCGGTTTTTGGTATCTGGTTCCCAGTACGAATTGTATGTTAATTATATTGGTCATGTATAGGGGTCACTGACTACTGGAGAAACTATCGTTGATGCTGATGATAGGTACTAAGTACAATGTACATGTACATTGTCCCAGCACACAATACGGGATTCGAACATGTGCATATTTTAACTAGCATGCTGGGCAAGTTGGGAAGGGGTTTTTACTAGCCTGCAGCCGTTTTTACTAACCATTGTATCCCGGGCTAGCGTTAAGGTCGAGCCCTGACCAGTGCTCATGTGGAATAAATACAGTCCTGGACATAATGAAAAAAGTCTTTTCAGGAAATACAAATTGCTCTATCTGGTCCACTCTCGAGAATCACTGATGGATACATTCCATGCATGCAAAGCACACTACTGTATGTGTCATTTATTTTCACATGGATACATGTGTACACAATATCAGTAGTGCTGAAACATTCCATCCTAATAATCAAAGAGCCAGTAACACTGAGTGTGAGTTGCTACGATGTGTGTAACACAATCATGTGTCTTTATTGTAACTTTATTGGTGTGCTGGAGCATCGTGCTCCCTACTACTACGTCCCCCTTTTTAAAAAAAAAATAATGACCATGATTGTCCCTTGAAAGTGTGGAGGCATATTTCTGCACTACATATGCATTACAAAACTGGTCATTTGGCTTGGTTTCATATGTGGTTGTGCAATACCAATGTCATAAACAGAAAGTGTTAAATTAAGGTTATCAGTATCACTAAAAAAGGATATTACTTTTATCCAATACTGGGCTTTTTTGGGGGTTGTTTGTGCTTTTCACTTTTCAACCTACTTGGTTATTTCTCTTTCCAAGGAGATGTTTTTTTCAAACAAAAGCAAAATAAACAAAAATGTCCTTTTTTTTTTAGATAATATAGAGAATTCTTTGTAAAATGTAAAGAACAGAAAAGGTTTCTTTTTCAAAAAAAAAAGGTACATGCAAAACTGTCTTTCTTTTTGGTGAATCAAGCTCTTTTTTGTTATTAATTTTACGTTTGAAAGTTCTTTTTTTTGGTCACATTGAACTTGGAAAGTGTACAACAGTCAGTAAGAGTTTAAAGTGTTTTCTGCAAATAGAGCATCATGGTACATAGTCTTTGAGGTATTTTGCTTTGTGACCAAACGTCCCGATCACGTTTTGGTAGGTTCACATGAGTCTGGCTTAGAGTTCTGCTTTTGGTCCTGCGTGGTTTTGTCCTTGGGTGTGTCTGGTTTCCTGTGTGGGGTTTGAAGGGTCTGATTTTCTCAGAGGCAGATTTCTCCGATGTCTGCACAGTTTCTGTTTAACGTGCACTTGGCTGCTTGGGGTGGTTGACTGCATCAGTGGGTTTTCTGCCGTTTTGCGCAGATGGACACAATTGCGCTGATATCTGCCAGTGGGGGTCTCCACAATGTACGATCGCTCGTCAAGTCTACGTACAACTGATGCTTTTCCCATCCCTTCTGTCCGTGGATGAGAGGCTGCATGCCAACTGTGTCTCCCTCTTCAAGTGGGGGAAGGGTCATAGCCGATTTGTTGTAGTTGTCTGCTTGTCTCTCTACACGTTGTTTCAAGCGATTGTGTTCATCTATGACTTTGGGCTTCAGTAGATTTGCTGTTGTCAGGAGCAAGGTTCTTGTGCGTCGATTCATGAGTCTCTGTGCTGAACTGAATGTGAGTCCCTGTGTTGGTGTATTACGGTTGTCCAAGAGTGCCTTGTAGGGATCGGTGTGTGATTTTGCACTCTCCATAAGGAGGTGTTTTGCTGTCTTAACCGTTTCCTGCCGGGGACTCCGGAATCAGAGACGTATGGTTTATATGCATGGCCGGGGCCTCCGAACTCAGACAAAGGAAACAGGGCCCTGTAACAAAAGACCGTACTCCGAACAAAAGACCAGGCTGCTGGGAATTATCGACATTTTTCACTCTCAAAAGTGGTGATAATCCAGCCTTGTTTTGAAACCGTATACCAGGGTTTGGGGCATTGAGAGCAAGCGGATTACCACCGGGACAAAAGCGCGCCACCACCGCAGCGATGAGCCACACAGCACCGCTGCACGCTAATCTGGCCCTTATTGAAAAGAGGTCAGTAGTGCACTGAGCCAGGTTCGTGAACAAAAGAAAGTTACATAACNGGTATTTGTCAACTTAGAATAGTGCCTAAAGATTACTTCGTGCGGCTATGAACGACCGTTAAATGAAATGATGAATTTTTGAAGAATTTTGAAAACGGAAAAAATGATAGTCATGCTGGCCCAGCATCATCAACATTGAAAAATGCCCCGGCATGAAGTGGTTAACTGTTGATTCGGCTTTCCTGTTGGCCTTGCTGTTTCCTGGGCTGCTGCAGAGGTGCTCAACATCCCACTCCTTAGAGAACTGGCTAAAGAGTGTGGAAATAAATTGGGGGCCGTTGTCACTGATGAGTTGAGTAGGAGTACCATAGCGAGCGAAATGGCCTATGAGTTTCCGGATGACGGTTGCACTGCTTGTATCTGGAAGGTGATCGACCTCCCAAAAGTTGCTGTAGTAATCTACTGAGATCAGGTAGTTGTTACCATTGAGGGAAAACAGATTGGTGCCAACTCTTTCCCATGGTCTGGATGGGACTTCATGGGAAATCAGGCTCTCCTTTTGTTGTCGTGTTTCCATTGAGTGACAAACATCACAAGTACTGATGAAGTGTTTTATCTCACTGTTCATTCCTGGCCAGAACAAACTCAGGCGTTCTCTTCTCAGGCATCCATCTGTGCCCAAGTGCGATGAGTGGATTTTGTGCTTCTTGTCTTTTCGCAATGTTTGTGGTATGACGACTCTGTCGCCTCTGAAAATCATACCATCCTGGATCGCTAACTCATCACGATAGCTGTGGTATGGTTTTAGCTGCTCTGGAAGGGAGTTCCGCTCATCCGGCCAGCCCTCAGCGATGGTGTGCTTCAAGAGCTGAAGAGTGTCGTCTTTTGCTGTTTCACATTGGATCTGTGACAGGCACTCCTCACAGATAGGTAAGTAGGACACCATGTTGATTTCCTCAAAGCTGCTCTAGCTTTGGTCAGTGGGCTGGTCACCAACTGCGTGTTACAATGTGTCGGCAAGGTACATATGCTTGCCTTGGCAGTATGTGATGTCAAAGTCATACAGTACTTTTGCAGGTGAAGGAGCATTCCTTGAAGTTGCTTAGGTGCCTTCATAAGAGGTTTCTTTGCGATCATCTCAAGTGGCTTGTGATCACTGACCGCTCTGGTGAACCTCCCGAAGGTGTACTGATGGAAAACCACTGCTAGCATCTCTTTCTCTATTGAGGCATAGCATGATTCAGTGTCTGTTATGGCTCTGCTTGCATACGCTATTGGGCGTCCCTTCTGCAGAAGTGCTGCGCCAAGGCCGACGCCACTTGCATCACACTGCACAGTAAGTTCCTCTTTTGGATTGTAGAATGCCAAGATGAATGCATCTGTTACCATCTTTTTGACCTTGGCAAAGGCAGTTGCCTGCGTACAAGACCATTCCCATGCAAAGTCTGGTTTTGTCAGCTGTCAAATTGGCTCCAGGGTTTCGGACAGCCCAGGTAAGAATTTGGCCAGACAGTTCGCGAATCCTACTAGCCTTTGCACCTCTTGCACATTTGCGGGTGCAGGCATGGTGATCACAGTTGATACCTTTGCTGGGTTGGGTTTGAGCTCTTCACTGGTGATCATGTGGCCCAGAAACAGTATTTCACTCACGGGAAACACTGATTTGTCCCTGTTGAGCTTGATGATCTGGTCAGAGCATCGCTGAAGTAGCTTTTCAAGCTTAGCATCATGATCTGTGACTCCTTCTTGTTGGGTTCCACCTGTCCCATAGACCAGAATGTCATCGGCCACACAAATCACTCCTGCCAATCCATCAAGCGCCTGGTGTAGCCTCCGCTGAAATATCTCTGAAGAAACACATTTGCCAAAGGGCAAACGGCACCAGTGGTAACGTCCAAAGGGCATGTTAAACTTGGTCAAAATGCTTGAAGCTTCATCTAGCTTCAGTTGCCAAAATGCTGAGCTCATGTCTAATTTGCTAAATACCTTGGCATGGGCCAGGTCAGGCAGGATGTCTTTGTTGACTGGCAACTGATAGTGTTCACATTTCAGTGCTTTGTTCAGTGGGCGAGGGTCGATGCATGTTCGGAGTGCACCGTTCTTCTTTTCAGCAACCACTAATTGGCTGACCCACTGTGTTGGCTCATGCACTGCTGTAATGACTCCATTTTTCTCCAGTGATTTTTTTCCCCCACGTCTTACATATCTGACCATATGCTGGGCACTGTCGTCTGTCCCTTGGATGTGATTGGCCACAAAACTTGCACGTTTTTATGCCTTTTGAGCGTTTGGCTGCCCCTTGCTTATTTCTGACTGGGCTTTTGTTTTCTGGCTAGCCCTCTTTTTCCTTTCTTTGACTCTGTACACTGTCTGTGCTTCGCCATTTGCTTGATTGGCATCTGTGCTTGGGTCTTGGTCAGCTGTGAATGCCTTGAGCTGAGACTCGGCTGTTTCCATGCTTCTGCATATGTCTATGCATGTGGCAAGAGTCAGGTTACGCTCTTGAAGAAGTTTTCGTGTGTCAGTCACGAATCCCAAGCACAATTTTGTCACGGAGCAATCTGCTCAATATGCATTCACAAAAGTTGCATGTTTTTGCAAGGGATCGAAGATTGGCCAAGAACATGAAGAAAGTTTCAAAGGTCTCGCCCTGTTCTTGCTGTCGCTTGTTGAACAGGTACACACTGTAGCGCTCATATGTCTCATTCACTTCTCCGATTGCATATCTGTCGAAAGCTACGATTATCTTATCCAAATCTCTGCTGTCATTGTCGTCAGAGAACGTGAAGCTGTTGTATATCACTAGTCCTTGTGGCCCGATTGCGTTAAGAAACAAGGCTGTGCCGTAGTCTGGGGTCTGTTTGTGGAGATGTGTAACAACACTGTAGTTGCTCCACATCTGCTTCCATGTCTTCCACTTGTCTATGACCCCTTTGGCGACTTGCAAGGGCGGCGGTGGGCGAATACCACTCACCGGTGTGGGGCTGTTCACTGCTGCGCTGACCCGTTCATGGTTCCATGCACTGTTGCTTCTGTGGTTGTTACTGTGTTCATCGGCACCCAAACTGTCCGTATCTGCCCGCGTCTGCGAGTCTGAGGCGGCCTTTTGTGATCCATTCTGTCCACTAGGCATTTCTGGTCACACTCCTGTGTCGCACAAGACACTTCAGAGGATTCTACAACGTGAAAATTACGGAAAAATAGGTGCTGACCGCTGCCACCATGTAACACAATCATGTGTCTTAACAACGACGACGCATGCGCGTCACTTTATTGGTGTGCTTGAGCATCATGCTCCCTACTGCTATAATGTGATGGCTATTATTAGTCACCTCTGTGTTCATATGTAAAGCCAACATATGACGCATAAGGTTTTACTTAGCTGACATTAAATAATTGCCATTTAGAAACAAAAACAAAAGATTTCTGGTTGTATTTCTTACTTTAGGAACGCCCACGATTCCTGAATTTTTCCGTTTGATGAAAAGGCAGTTAACGTATCATGAATGGGAGGTCATACAAGCAGAAGACACAGAATGGAAACAGCTGGAGATGTTCTACAGATTCTGGGTAAGCTGCGATTCTAGTCAGTGTCTAATTTAATTCCATCAATAGCTTGAGAATGTGTTCTCCAACAGCTGAGGAATGAACATTATTGTAGTCCTTTGTAAAATGCATTTATGAAAACTGACACCCTTACAGTGATAAGCAAAATAGCTGAGGGTTGAAAAGGAAAGGACAGGTTATTGAATTGGAGCAGTACAGGAAATATCTTCAGCAGAATTTACAATGACTAACAGGCATTAATTACCTGGTTACTCAGTCTCTATGGACAGGGATTCTTCTAGGATTTAGAAAAGGGCTCAATCATCATACTGGCCTTTCTTTGTGTGCTCATTTTGCCTCACTGTTGACTATACAAGCCCAGTCCCCTTTCACACGTCACACAATGTGGCACTGAGGCAAGCTGTACGTACACAGAACATGGAAAGTTGTCAAAGCCATTTTTTTAAGAGTTTATTTTTAGTTTGCTTTGATTTCGTGTGAATACTATTTTAGTTATTTTTTCATGGAGCTTGCATGAATTCCTAGTGATTACGTGTAATTAATGTTAACGAGTTACGGAAATAGAAAACATTTAATTCACGTGAAGGATTTCAAAATGACAATAAATATGTAACCATTTCAAAAACCTTGGACATTTGATGTTTACCCCATTAATTGTGACCCCAAAATGAATAAAAATTTCCTGTGTTTCCCCGCCCACAATAAAATCTCCTTTTAGCCATTCGCACTCCCAGGCTGATTGGATGACGCCATCGCCAAAACGATGCATGTACAGTGTACATGTTCATACAGTACATGCAGTATTGCACACAATAGACCACCTTGTGTTTGATGTACATGTAGCTTGGCCCACGGGCAAACACTGACTCAGTTCAAGGTAGAAATTAAAGACACAGTCCTACTGTGTATTTCTTGAACTGAAACAGTGTTTGCCCTGTTTGAAATGGTTATGTATTCATTGTTATTTTGAAATACTTCAAGGGAACTAAATATTTTTCTGTTTCTGTAACCCTTGAAAGATGAAATCTGAAATGTATTACACACACAATTAACAACAACCCATGCTATACCATGCTGTTGGTACCCAAAGCATGTCATTAACAAAAGGCTGTGTATTTTTCATCTGGAGTTCTTGACCACGTTAACGACATGTAGTACTGAAAATCAATATAAAAAGAATGAGACAAACAAAGTGCAATGTGAGTTTTGTTGTATGGCCCTCTGATATTCAATACCTCTGAGGTCATCTTTCTGATTTTTGTCCTATTTGATGTTCATAATGAGTTTGGCGACTGTAATGCCATCATTTTGTTTTACATTCAGTGTTTGAAGGAAAGCTACATCAAGGCGATTGGTATTGGTTTGGGCCTTGACCTGCAGACAATAGAATTTCATCCAAAGACAAGGGCAGTACAACAGGGAATGGTCACCACAGACACAAAGTTCTATCTGAATGGAACACTGGATACCACATGGGACTTCCATGAATCAAAGTTGGATGACCTTCATTTTGTGTGTGTTGCCCTCAAGCGACCAAATGGGGTAAGTCATGACTTAAACTTAACAAAAAACCCCATTACTGCACTCTTTGTACGTTCATGGCCCTCACTTAGTTTGTGCACATGTGTACTGAATTCCATGAAAGCCAGAAGCCAGTAAAATGGCTCTTGACTCGGACAGGTGGACCCCGAAAGTAATCGATCAACATCAAGCTCAGATAAAGTTGTTTGCCCCTCATTTCCATACCGATTAGCATTTAAACACTCAAAGTCCCTTTTGCTAACTTGCGTACAATAAAAATCCATTTTCTGCCAAATTTTTGCCCGTCTTTCTTACATACCTTCAAAGTAACAGAGTCAGAAGTTGGAAGTGAAGCCAACATTTTAGAGGGGATTTTTTAAGTTTTGCCCAGTTTTCAGTGACATTTCTCTACTTGTGAAAGTGAGGAACATCATGAACGCTGTAATGAGAATGTATCATACCAGAAGGAAACCGTATGGATGAGAACGGAAAGTTTTTGTTAATTGGGCAATTTGACGTTGTTGTACGTATTAATGCAATAGACTAAAAGTAAACTCGTACCGAAATGCACTCGTATGCAGGTGTGTGTGCGTGCACGCCTATGCCATGCCCCAAATCCATACATCTCATTTTTGACCCGCTGTCGGTCACATGTCGGGCTGGCTGGGGCAGAAATTTGAATCCACATGAAAAACAAAGCGTATTTAAGACAAATGGCTCTCGATCTTAAAGAAATGAACTGATGGATGCAAAGTAAGGTGAAATACACGGAAAATGACGAAAATGGGTCCCAATGAAAAAAACGAAGTGAATTTCAAAAAGGTTTTCTGCCTAGAAGTAATAACCTTTTTTTGATCATAAGAGTTACTACTAGTCTTTTATGTGGCATCAAAGTTATTTGAAGGTAAACCTGGCAAAATTGTGAAAATTAGACACAAAGTTATCTAATAATAAATTGTTCATAATTATCATTTGTCAAAAAATGGATTTTTCCACTTCTTTGATTAGTTTCCAGAGATCTTTCTTATCAGACGCTATTAAATACCACCATTTGATAGATTCTCGGAAATTTATTCACACACGATGTCCTCAAGGGAAATGGCAGGACAAATCCCTCACTGGTATGCGTCATCTGCTGAACTCAAGTTTTCAGGCCGACGACCATACATGTATCATTGTATGTTACTATTGCACATGTGCGAATACACAGAGTAAATGCAAGCATAGTCTATGGGGACCCAACATATGTGACTCCACCCATGCCTTGTGTTTGCTGCCCTCTTTGGGCTTAATATTGTCAACTGTTACCAGCTGTCACAAGAGGGCAGCCTTTTTTCCTAGAAGCGTTTTCATGTTGGGGATCAACTTGACAAGTTGCACAAGGTGTTAGGAACACTGATAACATACTTTTTAACACACATTTTTAGGACTGTCATTGGTTGTTTGTGGAAGCCTGTACTTTCTGGAATATTTGTTGGGATCATGGATGGTCTTTTAATTCAATTGGTTAAAGTCAGTCCAGAAACTTCCTTAGAATTTTGAAGATTTTGCTTGATCATTTCTGGTAGGTGTGCCGTCTTTCCGTTTGTTGATGGGCTTTAATTGGAACCTGTACTATTGTTGGCTGGCAAACAAAGAAGGTCTATGGGACTTGACACAATGTAGTGCAGTTAGTTGGCAAATTGCAGGTACAGTGTTCAGGAGGTCGCAGGCAGAAATCCTGATTCTGTCAGTTGTATTTGTCAATGGGATATTGGTCAATTCTTGCATCATGCTTCACTGAATTCCTTCTGAAAGTGTGGCATTCAGCCAAAGCAAGTAGTTGCTATAAAATGTAAGTTCTCTCTATTGGCACATATATTTTGCTTTTAATTTGACAATGAATGTCTCGATGCATATTAACAGCAAATTATCATTCCAAGAAGTACACATGCTTAAGAAGTGCATGTACTTAAGTGCATTGCAAGAAAACAGAAATTTCAGAATTTAGCAATCATGTAATTTCAATGTAAAATTCCATCTCTGAATACTTTCCAGAGGACCTTTCACATTTTAACTGATGACCAAGCTTTAAAGGTCACAGTATAGTTAGTGTGTCACTGTATTGGCATGCATTTTTGTTACATGTTTCTGAAAACATGTAGTAAACACTTTGTTAACAGTTAAGGAGCAATTTTTAAGGCCTTGACTATATTGGAGTCCTGATCAGTGCATTTGAATGAAATCCTGTCCAAAACAAGCTGTGCTTAAAAGGCATAAAAGCTTTTTTGATAGCACTTCACAAAAACCACACTGAAGCTTTCTCGGTTTTTTAATTAGTCCCCCTCCACTTGAAAGCACCCACTACCACCATCAAGGTCACCAAGCTATGAAGACATTAAAAACCACTCTTCACATCTATCATCAATAACCTGATGCCATCGGGCCAATGTAATATTTCTCCTCCTATTCATGTTGAGGTTCATTCTTTGAACATGTGGCCATTAAAGGTGCAATACTGACCATTCACCTTGAAAGCAAGATTATACTTTCCTTTTTTTGCAGTGCGCCAGCTGGTTGTCATAAGCTATTAACAATATCCATTTTGTGGAAATGTCGGTCTTTTTTCCCTCAAGGTTTAAGCAGTTTAATAATTTTTCAGGAATCTGTACGTACGCTACTTGTCAAATTATTTGGTCTCATGTTGACATCTAATATATGGCATAATTAGGTGGCAGGTGGAAATAAGCAGTTTTCTAAGTGACGTCCTTTCATCAGTGAGATATAACCCAAAATGCCTAGTGGTACGTGTGTGATTATGATCAAATTGCTGTTGAGGTGGTTGGATGACAACAATTGGTCATCCACGACAAAATAATTTTGTGTGTGTGCCTGTGTGCTAGTCAAAAGCCTTTTAAAGGATTTCAAAAAAAAAAATTCCCATCCAAAGCATGATATGCATGTACATTTTTTCCCCGGTGTCCATATCATGACATTTTTGTCTTCATTGTTTACATTTTGCTGAAATTCAAATGCATCATTTTGAGGAAGAAGCATCGTAATTGAACTGAAATGGTGACATGGCTTATTTTCCAGCTTGAGATTTAGCTGTCACTGCAGGAGATCTAAGGTTTTGTAACAATAATTCACATCTTTCAACAACTTACATGACCTAATTTTCTAGTGTCAGTTTTTTGTGTGGGTCATTCCATATCAATTCAACACACTTTTGGATCAGACATCACAGATTGAAATGGAATTTGACATGCTCATTAGATTCCTTGAGAAACCCCTAGAACTAAAATTTTACATCAATGGATCAATTAGCTTTGGAGATACGGGTTAATGAACTAATATTGGTTAATTGACTCATTAGGTTTGCCTGCATTGTTTGGACAACCCATGCATGTATCTCCTGAAGTAAAGCACTAACAGAGATAAATTTTACATCATGTTAAAGCACTTAAAATGACCTTCATTCATAAAGTAAAATCAAAATTACTCTATGTACCACCAAATATTATGCAAATATGACTTTTGACCTTGCTTTGCAAAATGTGTATATTCTAAATCTTGAATTTTTTTTAATTGTTAGCTTAAAGAGTACCTCTAATGAAAATATGGTTTCTCTGATTTTATCTGTTCAAAAAATATGGAAGCATCCAAAGCGAATGCAGAGTCATTTGTCTTCAGAGCTCAAAAGGGCTTTTTTCTGTTCATGCCCAAGATGTGAATTCTGAATGTAGATTGCGCCATTCTGAGAAAACACAGAAAACGAGGGAACTCTTGCCCTGTGTTCGTAGTGGATAAATCCCTTGTGCACGCCGAACAAAGGTCAAAGGTTTGTCCACTACGAACACAGGGCACGGGTTCTCCTCGTTTTCTTATCCCCTCAATTAGCAAAACTGACCAGTGGCCACAGCATGTGACCCTAAAAGAGCCAAATTATTCTGGACTTCCAGGGAGGGGGGATTCTGCTGCACCCCCCAAGCTCCACTCCCCCATGCTCAATTTGTTTGTTTTAAACTTGGCATGGATGTAGAAATGCTCATTATCAGTAACACCGTGAAGTTTCGATTCAAACTGACATATAGTGTTGTTGTTAGCGGTGTGGCCATTTGAAGTTCAAGGCCTCATTTTTGTTATCGTAAGTGTATTGAATGCATCAGTGAAAAAGTATGTGTACGTCTCTCGCTGACCTGCCTCGGAAAACAGGTGCTGCATGAGAATGGCACGTGAACATTTCAGTTTCAAAAATTTGTTTAAAGATGACCAACAGAAGTTACTAAAAAATTATTGAAGGCTCAGTGCATGAAAAAAAGCACTGCGATGATAGGGAGGATGTCAAAGGGGTAGGAGGTTCCGACTCCCCCCTGCCTCTTTTAGGGTTTAGCTCGCCACTACCATAAAAACAGCGCTTGATACAACATTAAAATGTGGTAGTGACCAATGTCTCAAAGCCTCCAATTGAGGGGGTGAGAGGGATTACCTCAGAAGTCATGTCATGAATTGTACTTTGCACTGCTAGGCTAGCATGGTTTTACTGCTCACCGTACTATTCATAACACTGTATATGCACAGGTACATGTACATTGTACACATGTACATTTTGTTCATGTATAATGTACAATTCATAGGCCTATACATTTTCAGTTTTTGCTAAGATTCAAATGAACCTAACTAGAAAACCTGAAGAGTGCCCATTGTAAATTTTTTGGGAAATGTTGGTGACATCTTAAGCAAACAGTTTAAAAAAATCTTTTTGAAAAATACCCATTTTTGCAAATCAATGTCAAAGGTCATTTATTTGCATAGTTTTGCAGTGGTTTCACGTGGTATGATTTTATTTTAGAAATGAAGGCCATTTCAAGAGCTTTGAAATGATGTAAATTTTATCTCTGTTGGTGCTTTACTTCAGGACATATGGCTGTCCAAACATGGCAGGTCAACCTAATTTATCAAATGTTTGTTAACCCATATTTCAAAAACTAATTGACTGGTGGAGATTTTAGTTCTGGGGGTTTCTCTAGTATCCAGTCAGCACACCAAATGTGGTTTCAATCTGTGACGGTCAGATCCAAAAGCGTGTTGAATTGACACGGAATGATCTGTGTGCGTAAGGGTAAATTGCAGTTTAACACAGATGTAGAGTAGCATCTTAGTCTTAAAGCTGAAGTTCTTGTAGCAAGTAAAATATCACTGCGTATCAAAAGAAACCTTAGTGACAAAACCTTTTCACCACACTTGGGCCAGGTAAAAAGCAAGTAGAATCCGCCAGATAAACATACTTAATAATCAAACGCACTGTAGAAACTTGACAAATGTTGTAAAAATTGTTAAAACAAGTTTATCTCATAAACATAGAATTGGGGCAGAGGAATCATTCTTATTATTATTTATTATTATTATTATTATTATTTATTTCTAGTAATGACCTCAGGATTCCTCAAAAGTGCCCTAGGCACTGTAGCTCACAAGCCTGAAGAAACCTGTAGAGAGGAGACAATGAGAAGCATTTGTAGTTTTAGAGGTGGGAGGAAAACCCCAGAGATATATTCTGGGTAAAACCCACGGAATCAGGCAGGGACTGAAAACCCAATCCACATGTGGACTGGGCTAGGGTTCGAACCCAGACTGCAGAGGTGAAAGGCAAGGAAAGAACCACTACGTTAACCCGATTCCCCTCCCCTTATTAATGTGACCAGAACAAACATGGCATGAAAAATGTGGAAATGTATGTCCTTGTTCTGTGAATTGGCCCATATTCTCTCTCATCTCAGAAGCTGATGGCTTAATAGCTTGTAAAGTGGAATGTAAGTGAGGCATAAATCCTGTACTCTTTGGACGTCTGAAGTACTGTTGGTGACTGTAAATTGCAGTGTGCTTTCCTGATGCTTGATGGAAGTGCTCAATAATGGGACAACAATTATGTTTCAATTTCAATGGTTTACATGTTTGTACTTTTTTATACATATGCTGCTCAAGTGACATTTCATATAAATGTACACACAAATATATCAGTGGAAGATGTACTGTACATGTATCGGTACCTACCACAGTTTATCTTGTGCTTTGCAGAAGGGTACTCAGGCAATATTCTCTAACACAACTTGTATTGTACCATGCGATAGCTTGCTGAATTACAACTTTCTGCCAGGCAGCAGACGAGGTACTCCCAGTTCCAGAAAGAAAGTTCATGTTGTGGTTATTGACATACAGTACCCTCAGCAGTGAAGGGATCAGTACTCAGTCTACTACATCAAAGCTTGATATGATGTGTTAACACAGCCACCGAGCCACGTAGATTGTCAGTTGATGTATGTTCGGTTCAGTACCCAGTTAATTAGAAAGCCACCTGTCTATCTCAATAACACTTTTTAAGATTGGTTTATAGGGATGATATGGTTGATTCATTTTTGTAGTAGTTCTCAATAGAACCACTCATTAGTTTGTTCTTTGCCCTGCATATGGCCATTTTCCACGTTTTATTCTCGTTGGAAATAGCCAGATAAAAAGATAAAACATAGGAAGTTACTTTTTACGAACATAATTGCCAGCAAATGCCAGTGATTAATGTTCCATGGATGTTTTCCGACACCTCATTAGTATTGCGATTGAAACATGTGCTTCCATTAGGACCAGATATGATATTGAAAGCAGCCAAAGGGAACATTTCTAGAAGACAGATTGAGGGGAAGTGGCTCAAGCAGAAAACTGTGTGACTCAGGAGAACTGCATCAAATTTTCTCTGAAGATGTCAGGAAAATTAAATGAAAATGTACATCATAAATTTGGAGGATGTCCCTAAAGTGAAAAAGTGGCACAAAGTTGGAGTGAATGATTCATTTTTGATTGATCAATTTTTATTTCTTTATTTTTTTTATTGACAGCAAGTGCAAAAACTTGCAATTTATAATATACTGAAATAACATATTTACTGAAGATATGTATACATGGCACAAAGCCTTCCCTTGCTCAGCTGAGGGCAGGAGCCTTGAACCAGTACTGTCATTCTTTCCGAAAACAAGTACTGGTATGGTAGATTGCTTAACCTTAGCACTTAAATCTCTGTTCCTTCACTGCATGTAACAACAGTCATAAGTTTTTGTAGAAAAAACAATGAAGCACATTAAGTGAGTGGGCTCATTTTTTCATTGGTCAACCACACAAATCTTACATATTGGTAGCATTTCACAGCCTGTCCCCTGCTCTCCTTAGCCATCTCTGATACATGTCCCATTTTCCCCTTCTCTTTAGGTATTGGCTGATGTCCATGTACCCACTTCCATCTTTAAGGAACATACGTTCGTGGACCTCGTTTCCTCTGCGCAGCCCTTATTTCCAGAGGATGTGTTGTACTGGGAAGAATTTGCTAAGAAAGAGGAAAGACCCCGTGGTCAAAGAACTGACGCTTTGTAGAAATGTTTAGTGACAAATCCTTGGACCATCTCACTTTTCTTGATGGTACATGTATTTAGAAGGAACACATTGACATTTCAATGTTTTTCTTAAGACACTATCCATCCAGAGTCATTCATCCCTTTCTTACATGAAAATTGAGAAGTCCGCATTTCACTTACAAATCCTGTAGACACATCCAGGTTTTGTACCATCACATAGATTGGTCCCAACCATCATGTACCTGTTATATGCGCCTGTATACCATGCATTTTCCCTTATCACTGAAAAGAGCACTCACTCTTATTCTCATCTTGCATGGAATGTCTCTTCAAGGTTTCTAAAAGGAATACCCACATTTGTGCACTCTACCATCAAAAACATCAAGAGCAAAGACACATTATTCAGTTAGGTTTTCTAATTTAATGTCAAGGGTTCATTTTTTCTATTCTAACTCAAAGCATGGAAACATCACAACTAGTGTGAAAAGTGAGAGTGTGAAAATCAAAGAAAGCTGTTCGAATAATCATAACATTGAGCACTTACAGGTGTAGTACACAAGGTGCATGTGTAAACCTACATCCATGTACATGTGTATGTCACTGAGATCAGTTTAACAACTTTACACCTTGTGCATGAGCTTATAGATCCAGCACATTTCATTGCACACATACACGTTAAATATAAACTTTGTAGAGTATGTATGAAAATTAAGTGATTAACACAGTTCTTGAACATTGCAAAGCATTTTTTGTATCTGTCTTTTTTAATACATGTACCCTGAACTACATGTAATACCTGTCACTAGGTTGTCACATACAGTACTTACTGTAGACTTATTAACTAAAAATTAAATTATTATTAATTAAAACCTAAAAAAAAATTTGTATTACAAACTAAATTATGTAATGTAAATCACTGGGAACCGAACCAACATGATACCTTATTTCAGTTTACTATTTCTAAATTGACACATACAACATGAACTTCTAACAAAATAACCTATCTGTTGTAGAGTATCATTTTCATACAATTTACAAGTATCACACAAATAAATACTTCACACATTTTTACATCAGTTATCATTGCTGTGTGTATCACAGGGTTATCAACAAACCAACTCTTGAATTTGTTCATAGACACATTAAATAACATTATATATGCATAATGTGTATGTACGTTATGAAACAAAGCATATCAGTGTCAATCATTGATAGATACTGAAGGAACAGCATCTGTTCAGTTGTTCGCATGTGTTTCTAATTCTGTTTCTGAATTGAAGCGTCATGCATTTTCTCCAAAACTCTTAACTTGCATCAAACCAGATGAGCTAAATTTTAATCCTAAAAAGAACCTCTAAGTATGTATTAAAGTGCATGTTTCATCTATTCTTACTCACTTTTATTACAGCTTTTGTTGGATGAGGTTCCCACCTAAACTTATTTCATAACAGACTCATGTCACACCTTTTAATTTAACACGGCAAGTCCACATTAGTCTGAAGTTTTCTCCTGAACACCACACCCTTCCATTCAGTGTATTTCCCTGCATGTATTTATCTCCAAAGCCCATAATTCTGACTAAAATTCCATGATCCTGTAGTCTACCTTCAACTGGATTTGCAAGGCTGATTTAAATGACATTTGACGGGCATGCCTTTCTAAAGGACCCTGTTCTTATCTGATAGGATTCTAGAAAAGGAGATTCCATCCACACCAGTACCCTTTGACTAATTCAGACAGTGATGTCTGTCTAATATGGCGTGGGGCACCATGAGGAGGTAGCAACCCAGATTGTGGTCCAAATTAACTGTGGTATCCCCCAGTTAGTGGCACAATCACAATTGGCTTTCAGAAATGCTGTTAAGTCAAAGTGACAAGGGAATAGTGCAAGGAGATGGCAGAAGCAAATAACTGAATCTTCAATCACTTGTTTCCACTTGCCTTTTTTGTATGCATCAGCCACTACAAGTGACAAAGTTGCATTCTGGATAGTGGCACAGGGAAACACGTATTTGGGCTAATGAACATGTGTGGCAGGGGAAAACTGTGTAATTTATGTGGGACACAACGTTTGCGTCAGGTGTGTATTTCAAACAAGAAGGATTTGACAATATGAGCCTGCAGGCATCATTTACCCGTATATTAATCTACATTATGTCACGAGGTACCCTGATAGTGATCGAATGGGAGTTTGGGGACGAGTAAATGAGTACCTTGGTGATGATGAAGAGAAGCAAATGAGAGGATGTGGCGGTGAGATTCATTTACGTAAGAATGATGGTTATGGCTGTTGTTGGTTGTAGGCAATCAGGGATGAAAAGTGAGAAAATTATGAGAACAGCATCTGTTCAGTGTTAATAACAAAATGAAGTGATAAAGAACGGAGGTTGTAGTTTGGTTGAGCTGTTTAGTTGGGGATTTATTTGGACGATGGAGGACAATGACTTGGGTAATAATGGTTGTTGATGATAGTTACTTGTTATGATGATGGCTGTAGTGGTTGTACAGATAGTTGGAGATGATTGGGGTGAAAGTGGAGATGGAAACTCAAAGGTAAAGATGATATGGTGGTGATGGAGGGTTTGGGGTGTTGATAGTGCTGATATTGGCAATGATAGGTGAAGATGGTGAAGGTGATGCTATTGACAGTGGTGTGGTGAGGATTATACCTGCTTCACATGATACTGATTATGCCCGTAGTAATGCCCCCAATAATTGAGATGGTGGGGTCAGTGTCGTTGTTATAGATTGCTTAGGTGATGATGGTCATGATAAAAAAAATATATATATTGTTTGAGTAGTTGATGATGGAGTTAACCGATGATCCATGTACATTTCCTCTGGATAATTTACCTTTAGCTGTTTCAAGAGTATGATAGTAAATGTGTAGAAGAGACAGAAGTCATTTTGAATGGAATGAGTTTTTTGGGTGGGTGGGTGGCTGATGATTTGTTTTATCTAATTAATGCCCAAAGTAAATTCCCCATATTGCGTTGAAGATGGCTGAGATTGTGTACGTCGATGTCTATTGCTCTGCTTTACTCTGCTCTTCGCCCGTTGCTTCAGTCAGGAACCAACACTGCATGGGTTCCTTCTTGCCCTTCATGACTACTGGTCCCCGAAACTCAAAGTGAAAGCTTGGGTCGTGATTTTGGGGCTCCATCAAGCACCTGCAGAAAGTGTGCACAAAATACGATCCAAGTTAATAACCTTGTTCTCGCCGGTTTCGTTTGTAACCTGCTCTTATTTAATCCTTGGTGGTTGGTCTACATGCATAATTCTGATTTGCTCATGATTGACCAGTCTTGAGTTTTTTTTTTCGCTGGTTTCCAAACAGTGATAAATTGTTAATTGCTCATTTCCCTATCAGGCACCTGAAATCGTTACTATACTTCAACGCTGTTCGTGCATAACCTGCTTCTCATGTTTTAATTTTTGTTCTCTTGTTTACAGATCTAAGGATCATAATGCAAAGTTTTACCGCTTTCCTTCATTAAAGGGACAATGAATTGAAGTGTATGTGTCAGTTTGGTAAACTTTTTAGATATGTTTCACATGTGGTTTGTGTTTGTGGTTAAGCCAAAAATGTATTAATTAATTGTGTTGTCAGGATAATCTACTGTGTATTTTGTTTCTAAATTGTAATTTTGCTTGTGTTGAATCAAACACTACCCAGCCTTAGCCCCGCCAAGCCGCCTGACACAGCAAGTCGTTGAAGTCTGCTGTATATCTCACTCTCATTGTCCACTGCTCAAAATGGACTTTGACTTACTCTTAATTAGAACAAGGTGTGTACTACTCCACCCATTTAAACATATTATTGTTTCTTCGAACCGAAGAAAAGAAATAAGAACAACAATCGACTTCTAAATGGATCAGGGCAAGAGTGATTTATTTACCCCTATGTGAAAAAACACGGTGTGATTTAATTGTAAATTCGCGTTAATTTCTGTGAGAGTACATTCCATATCTAAGCGCATGTCATCAACCCATATACAAGTCTGGACAGTGCACCCCCTCAGTGCAAAATAATTTGGGAAAATTGAATTTAGGAAGCTTTCATGAAGATAAACACCGTTGCTATTTGGGAGCACTAATAGGTAATGTAAACCCATTTACGGCGGAATTCGTGGCTCTCCTGCGATGCATGCATATTGCTAGCACATAATTCGCATGTTCAGAGCTCTTAAACAAACTCTTTCCATACGCAGCGGTTATATTTTCCCATACCTTTTCAAGAATTTTCCAGATTCGTGGTTTATGGTTAGGGGTTTGTTGGTCGTGTTATTCTTGCCATGTCTCTTAGCCTGTTAACCTGATATTCTGTGCTCTAAGAAACATACAAGACGCTATCAGCTATAGATTATTTTGCAGTAAATAACTGAAGCAAGACAGTGCACTACTCGGATGAATTCAAAAAGACTACAGAGCAAATGATTCAAATTTTCCCCATAAATTTAACGAAGTCCAGATTGCTAGTGGGAAATGATGCCAGGGTCACTATCCTATGGACTGGAATTGCAACGCTGCTCCGCTTAAGCACTGAAGCACATCGTGCATCTTTCATTTGTCTCCCCCAAAATTTACTTTAACATTCTTCATCTTCCTCGATCGTTAGCAAAGGATTTGTGCCCATCTCGCGATATCATATTCATGGAAAATTACTGGCAAGCCCCATTGCTACAACTCTCCTAATAGATCCCAAATTTGATATCAGATTCATTTATCCACAGCAGTGCCAAGCATTTGAGCTTTTATTTCGCTGAGAACCAGAGCGCATTGTATTTTAATGATATCATGTCACTCCAGTTTCATTCTGTTTTCAAGATAAATTATGTGAAGGCTTCGTATCTGAGAGAAATACCGTACCCTTGATGGAGTCGTTATTGTTGCATTTGTGTTCTAAATAGGCATTTCAATCAGGAGTATTGATTGGACATACATTGACTTGACAGGTACAACTTTACCGTAAAATTTAAAGCACGCGCACCGCGTCGTTGGCTCGAAATACCGGCCGGCGGGCTGTTTCTCAACGAACTCGTGCAAGAAACGCTTCCTGCCGAGTAAAACATGTTAAAAGTAGTCCCAACAACACCCCCTCGGATGTTGCTCTGAGTGAAATGACATGTTGGTAGAGTTAGCACAGATGCCTTTGAAAAACAACTGAGGTAGGGGGTTTCAATCGGGCAGATGTTGGTACGATATTTTTATATCATCTGTTAGCCGCTTGGCGGGAATTTCCATCCATGGTGAAGGGAGCAAGCGTGGGAATTAGACGAAAGTAAGGATTTCTGGAAATAACAGAGGCTATGTTTAAAAGTAGGTTTTGCAGTGGCTAGTATTCCCATTGATACTGTATGTTAAAAGAAAATGAGAAACATTGACGTACACGGATTGTGAACTGAGTACTGAGGGGGCAAAACACATTGGTATGATGTCATTATTGCGGAGTTTTTACATTAATTTACATTGTGCTCGGTCATGATAGTAAATAGCCATTCAGTATGCATGATGCATACAGCGCCAATAAATGAATCACTCCTTGAAGCGATACTTGATCGGTCGTCCATAATAAGACTATATCTTACTCCGAGGCCCGTAGGCGAAAAAACCGACTGTATACCCTGTATCTGTACAAACAAACCCATTCTTATAAGGATGAAATCACACTGGAGTAAAGACTTTCGTAGAAATGTTCTTAGCTCTCAGGAATGACTGACGGCACGCTCGTCAAGGATGTGTGTTTTAGTTCTTGGGCTACGTTGAAACTTAATGCTGGATCGATCACCGTAACGAAATTTGATCTGGTGAGAATGTGCAGGTTTGACCCCTTGTTGTGTACTGGAGTATGGTTGTTGGGCGTGCTTCTCGGTAGTCCTAGGCCCTGTGCCGTCGGTCCCAGTGGCCGACTTCAACATCCGTCACTAAAATATCGACAGGGTGAATGGATTGGAGGGGTGCAGAGTTTCAAACGGACATAGATTCCGAGAAGGATATTGTGCTTTTCTTACGTTTTTGTTGCCGAAGGTTCAAGGAGATTGAATCGAATTACCACCTCTTCTTCGCCATTTATCGTTGTGACCAATTTGCACGAATTGTACACGGGTCAATCTAGATTAGATTACTAGTTCCGTTACACTTGGATTTTAGGGCAAATTCTGGCAGGTCATCCTCGCGTCTTGCCAAATCATCTCTGATCACACACTGAAGATGGTACCTTTTTACACTTACTTGGGTTCGGTGGTAGTAATGATATTGGTCAAATCAAACCTGACCTTGTTCTGATATTGAAATATAGGTTCCTGGATTGTCCTTAGTCAGATCTATTTTGCATACAGAAATGGAATTTGTGTTGACTGTCTTTTGTTACTTATGCATGCTGTAACATGAAGTGGCCTGTTTGTAACATTTAAAGGAAAGCAACGTAATGTCAATGGCTTTATGTAGATTAAGTTTCTGAATCCAAGCGTTTCAGAGACATCTAAAAGTTAAATTTTTATACCTGTAAGCGTATTCAGATACATTGATGCAGCCAGTCTTTCCAGTGGTCTCCGTCCGACTTGTCAGATTTACTGTGTTGCCAAACAGACAGTAGCGGGGCATGCGGGTGCCAATAACTCCAGTCACCACCTCACCACTGTGGATGCCAATGGTTATCTGTGATGGGGAGGGACGTGATAAATTTAGCGGAGGCTGAGGAGATTGTTGTGTAAAGGTAGCTGTCTGAAGGAACAGATGTCAAGGAGTCATCCATACCTTTGACAGAAAAGTCCTATTTAAAAACGCTTCTAATAATGACAAGGAAGAAATATGCTTGGAAGAGTCCTTTTGAAAACGGCTAGAAATTTTCATGCGAAATGTCCTCAGGTTTGGCACTTCATTTCAAATAATAAGTGACCTTGAAAGGAGTTGGCTAGTTGGAAGAATCGATTTGTGCAACCTACTTGATCACTTTCATGATAAAGTATGGGTTACAGTAATGTAAGAGTCAACACGATGCGTGTGATCATTTAAAATAGTACTGTTACTTTGATGTCAATACTGCATCGGCGGGTGAGGTTCCGCAAATAGGTTCAGGTAGAGTAGTTACAATATTTTAAAAGTGTTTTGCAACGGCGCGTCTTCAGAAATTGCCATTCGTGACCCGAGAATAAGGAACAGACCAAAGTGGGAAAAACACTTTGTCGATTACTCCCACACTGCCCTGCAAAAGCGTGTTACATCGATTCACGTAGAGGCTGTCACCCGCCCAAAATAACCAAGAAATGAGAATCGGGCTCCAAGACATATTCAGCACTGCCAAGAACGTATTAAAAGAAAATGCACAGCTTTGCTGCCTCCAACAATATCATATTGATTGTGTCGTCTCAAACATCAGGGTTGATATTTTTGGTGAATGTGACCGCCACATAGTTTACAATCAAACCGACAGACTGTTGTTCTCTGTAGCTTTATGTTGATTTGTCGATAGGCATTTTTGCAGTGCTGTTTCCAGAGGGATAATAAAATCAAAAAAATTTTTAAACTGCACACGGGCACTTGACAAAAGCCATTCTTAAAACGATGACTCTGACAAATTGGCGGAACAGTATGTCCGTGGATGTTAACAGTGAATATCCGATATATTCTGATTGACAGTCAAAAGGGCTGACGTGCCGCTCTTATGATAATTTGTTTTCAAAATGGTGATAAATTTGTTACTTTTTTATGAGTTTGATCCCTCATTTCGATGCAGTAGTGATAATTTCGACTCACCACGATCGATTCCCCATCGACTGTAATTTCCCTTGACTTTTTTATGATTTGCAAAGCCATCCTCGCAATGCAGCTTGCGTGCGTGTCACACGGCTCGGGAAGACCACTTACAGCCATGTACTTGTCACCAACCGTCTCCACCTGCAAATCAAATTTACGAGAAATTATGACCTGGTCTATCCTTGGTTTTCAATTTCAGACAATAAGCAACCATATTGAAAACAGTGGAATATACAGAAAATCTGACGAGCACCCAACTAATAAATAAAGCCATTTAATATTTTTTCCTGCATGTACTGTGTACATTGCACTTCATCGGGTACAATGGACAGTGCATGGGTAACTTCATTAATTTTTAGTAATTACAGGGTATGAATGGAAAATATTCTGAATAACCCAGAAGAAACAAGTCTGACCTGTAATTATTTCGACCAAGAGGAATACAATTCGAACCTGTAATTATTTTGACCCAGATACTGCGCTTTTCGCCCTCAACTGAATGTCCGTTAATTTAGACCATGGGTAAGTCTAGGTTAATAGTGGCCAAAGGCACCGCATACAAATGAATTCTTTAACTATAGTCCATGTTCGTTTTCTCATTTTCCTGCTTTCTAGCTAAGAAGTTCACTACCGGCTATTTTTATCACCATAAGCATGCACGTATTATCATTTTTACCTTTGGGTACAGAAAATAACAGAATTAGACTCAGACAAATTCTCTGCGGGAAACCAGAATTACAGGTTAAGGATAAGTGAGAGTTGCTAAGCTATAAAGGCGAGTGCACCTGAAATAAATTTCAAGTAGGAAATCCTGCCACTATTAAATTGTTCTTGATTCTGGATTGAAAAGTGTTTGTACGTCGGACAGATCTGCTATACATGTATTTGATCCTCGGGATAATATTTGCAGCCTCTGATTAGCATTTATAAAAGGAAATTAGGTGTGTGCAAAAATCACGATTTACAAATAGACATTTTTAAAAGAAATACTGTTCCCCTTGGCAGTTCCTTTCACAGCGCATCTGTCGCATTATTACGAAAATGAAACCTCGAGTGCTTGTAAATCACTGGCAGAGATGGGATTGAAAAGATGACAAATAACCTTGAGTTACATTACAGAAAATAACGAGCTGTGGCTTATTTCAAGCATCACTCCCTGATGAGAAAAACACTCCGCACGGCGTGGGGCGCGGTGTCATGCATCCCGAATGGCTGCAAAATAAGCCATATCGCTCCGGTATCCTCATGGGGAACTCATAGGGGTGCACTGGGAGAGCTTGCCTCCCGCGGGCTTGGCAGCTCGCGATAGTCACTAAGATTCTAGGCGCATCTCTGTTTTCCTCTTATCAAAATCTGCAGGAGGCGCGAGGGCAACGAACCAATGATTAAAGTAATATCAGAGTTCGTTATCAATGCACATCCACTAAACTTCTGCGGACGATGACCTCCAGCCCGGGGATAGGCCTACGTTAGATACACCCCCATTAGGAATATTGTGTCAATGGATTGTATCTTTCACGCGACTGGGTTTTTCTGTTGGTGTGTAGACATTTTCTCCAGGCATGCACCGCAGGATTATTCATAGCTCCTAGGCATCACTTGTGATGAGAAAGATTCATATCTTATTTGTGGGTATCTGTAGACGCTGTGGCTCTTTCAGTGTGCTTTTAAAAAAGATTCTCATCATGTCAAGGGCCAGTGCCGGTTAAGTCCGGTGTATTGTTATATATAGCCACAATAACGCATATTGATTGTAGAGCATGTCCTTAACCGATTGCAACCTCTAGATTGTACAATCAAACAAATTGATTTAGCACAAAAAATGCAGAGAGAAATTATAGTAAGTACTATTTTAAGTGTGGAGTTTCTGGTTCTTTTTTATTATAAGAGATAGGAAAATCACTTGATGATGGGTGTATGAGATCGACCTTTGTCTGTACAGTGTAGAAATTCGATTGACATTACCTTGTAAACTTGCGGATTTAAATCTGTAACAGCATCAAATTTGGTATAGATGACGTTGAGAAGGTTGACAACGACCATGGCATCAGTTGACTTGCGGTGACAAAAGTCAGCAAAACCAGCGATACCACTAAACATGATGGTTACCAACTCGTGTTTCTTTGCAGGCACCGGTCGTCGATGGCGCAACTCCTGAGCTACTGTTGCCGGAAGAACCGAATACAGCAGCCTAAACATGTGCCGTGCGAAGCAAATAAAAAAAAAAGCTCAAGTGAAAGTTCTTAACTTAAAGTCATACTGGGGTATTGAATAAATCCTCGTTGTGCGTTCATTTATCAAGGTTTTTGTGATCCCCTGTAGTTGCCATTGAAAATACTGGGGGAAAGTTCATACTACTGTAGTGAGTAGTTTAAGCATCCTGATTTTTTTTTCGCGATTGACATCAACTGAATCCTGTTGCTGTGTGACTGTGGTTCCATTTCGGGTCACCTGTTGTTTATACACCTGCTTTTTGGAAAAATATTGCAGGGACCCACTGATAACCACTGACCCGACCCACCTGTCTGTCTTGCTCTTCTCAGTCTCCAATTCTCTGTATGTCTGCTGTAGTTTATCAGTTAGAATCTCCAGCTTCTGGGTCAGCTTGTACTCTGCCTCAAACTTCTCGGACTCCAAGACGAGGTCTCGTGTGGCGTCATGGAGGGGCACGTCACTTAGGTACATCTCACGCCTACGCAGATCGTCCAAATTGACTACGTGAGGCGAGCAGAGGAAGAGGATCTCGTTGGAGGCCGAGATGTAGAGCATCTGCCCCTTGAGTTTCAGTCTGTGATTAGCCAGGGATTCACTGATGCCCTCCAGACCATGCTTTGTTTGGAGAACGAAAATTGTGTTCAGATGGCTGAGGATCGATTTGAAGGCGAAGTCCATGTGAGGGCGCACCAAATTGAAAACGCTGGTTATGTCACATCGGTCTGAACCCAGGCAGGGAAGCAGCCGTAAAACCGAGTTACCACACTGGTGGATGACCATATTTGAGTCGAACATGATGTGGAAGGGGAAGATGCGACAGAAGGTGGCTTGGCTGATTCTAGGCTCCGCTGAAAAGACACCCATAGTATTGTAGTCTTGACGCACAGTGGACTTATCTTCTTCCCGGCTCTTTTCCAAGATGGCAAACTGAACATGGTCGCAGTCGTCACCTTTGGTCTTGATAATCTCTACGTCTACTTCGCCCTTGTGGAGTTTTTCGGAGACAGATTTAACAAGGCCCACCACGATCCTCTCCAGGCCCGGTCGCTCGGAGTAGTAGTGTAGCACAAGGGCACCATCGCTTTCTCGCCTGCTGCACCTAAAGGAGGGTGCCCTCATGCCAGGGTAGATGGAGGCCAAGTGGTCATGGAGGGCATCCAGATTCTGCAGGAAGTCACGTGTGTTTGAGCCCAAGACAGTCAGAATGGTGTCGTAGCCAGATTCTTGGCAGAAGTCGAAGAACATCCTACCGAAGGCTTCCAACAGATCATTGGCACTGATGCCTATCACATAAAATCAAAGTTATTCGTTAACAAGGAATGTAGTTGGTTCTATAAACGGATTTAACCAGCGTCCAAAGGAATATGTTTTAAACAGCAACCAAGTCATTCCTCCTCACGTTTTGTGTTACTTTTACATAGATTTGCCTACATTTGTAATCACGTTTGTAATGCTACAAATAGTTCTAAAGGTTTCCATGAAAACAACTGACGTAAAGGAAGTCCGGATGTGCGAAAGTTAGCTTTAAGAGGTCCCACCCACATTGTTTGGTATGGTGCTGTGTTGGATTTAGTCCACTAGAAACCAAGATTCTTCCTGAAACTAGACTGAAGTGCTTCTAACTTTTCATATAGCTTTCATTTCTTCGTCTAAGCTTGTTTGGACAAGCGTACGTGACACTGAAAAGTGACGTATCAAAGGTCATTAACTCTTGAACTGTTCACTCTATTGGGATGAAAAAGTTGTATATTTTTGTGAGCATGCTTGAGAAGGCACCTGAACTTGGCATGGATGGAGAGTTGCACATGGCTACGGGCGACCATTTAGCTATGTTCCCAGGCTTTTTTTGCGTTGTTTTCCCGCATCTCTTTGTGGGCTGCACGGAATACAAAAGGTCACGTAGTTTGCTGATGTCCAAAGTGGGTTGACACGCGTCTTATCTTACAAGCACCATAAAAAGATTGAACTCGGTGTATCGGGTTTGCTTTTTCCGTGTTACCGAGTATATCGAACGAATCTTCGCTGGTCAAATATAGTTTGAAACGCTTGGCTGACGGGCCTGCTGCGTCGGTACACTTTCTCAGGCTTTCAAAATCCGTCCAGGAAAAGACAAAATTGGGCAAATTTTCTTGAATGTCAGTCTATAGTGGAGCAAGATTCGTTATGGATGTCGTGATCTTAGTATAAAGGGATGGATTGACGTTTTGTGTGACACTTAGGAACCACAAGTATATACTATTTTAATTCGCTAGGAAACCAGTTATTTACTTCGGCTAGTAATGTTCTCGTCTGGCATTTATTATAGATCGGGACTAAAAGTCATTTGGATATTACTTTCTTGTAAGACCCTTCTGAGACACAATTACTTTGAGATTTCACCTATTTTTTATTTTTATTATTTTTTGTAGAGTAGACTTTTTTGCTTATTTTCTTTGTTTAACTGTCAGTGTGTTCAGTAAACCAACACCATAATTAATCAGCAAGTGTTTTACAGAAAGTGTTTTTCATTAAAAAAAGACTGAAATCTTGGATCTGTTGTTGTGTAGGTGTCACAAGAACGCATGATGATTGCCTCATTTAATTTTAGCGTTATTCCCTTATTGCAAGGTAAAAGAGGAAAAGAAAAAGCGAAATGTAAGGAAAGAGCGACGAAAACTTGGTACACTGGGATTCTATAAATAGACTTGATTTTCACCTGTCAAGATGAATCATATCCAAGAGGATAATATATCAAACAAAAAGACACTACCCTGTAGGAAGGAAATAGCCCCTGGTATCACTAATGAAGGCACTCAGGGGGTCTGCAAATATTGTTTATATGCCGCTCATCTTACTCCCTCTCCTTCAGCAGGTGTGATGGCAGTTCAGAGGAAGTCGACACTATGTCCGAAATATTCAAAGACTCTTTCCTCCCAAGTGGTAATTTGTGGGAAGTCGTAATTTGTGACCTTGACAACTCAGGAGAAAGCCTCTTCATGTTGACAACCGTTTTTAGTAATTAAATTGTGTATAAAGTGCCTTATGACAACTTCTCTGCTTTGGAAGAAGCCTTGAAGGAACCAAAAGAGGGCGCTATTCCAAAGAGCGCTTGTCAAATACGGGTTACTAAAGCAGGGCTTTAAACTCCCTGTTCACCCACAGCTATAATGTAGTGACTATAATTATGGTAATTGGATATTCGGAATGTGCACTGGTGCTTTGTGAGGATATTTTGTATCGAATTGTGTTTGGTATGTGCAGACGTATCCATGATCTAGAAATATAGCTTTGGTTCCTAAATTTGAAGACCAGAGTGATAATGCATCTGCGTTTGCACAGCCCTTGGGCGTTATTGCAAATAAGACAGCGACTTTGTTTCATGTGTTTTGGTTTTCTGTGTGTGTATATATTCGGTATCACTCATTGATTTTTTCCATCAATGAAAATTAATTCAGAGAAGTATTTCATCATCAGTTTCCGCAATCGATATGAAGAGGGATCACATTTCCAGTGGCTGAGATAATTTTTCGGTCATGGCCAGAGAATTACAGCATTAACTAGCCGGGCTTTGCTTGTCACGATACACTCTCTAACTACGCTTTAACAATCGTATGTGATCTCTGTCCGGGTTTCTTCGACTACCTCATTCGTCCTTTCCTTTTCAGTGCTCGATTCACAGCAGTTGCATGTCACCACTGAATATTGGAACCGGGGATTAAGGAATTAGACTGATGAAATTAGATTTTCCCCACATTTTATGAGAGGAATCATGGATCGTAGAGGGCTGCGTTGAAATTGATTTACCAGCATTTTATCGCAAGCAGATACCAATGTTTTCAGAATACTGTGTTTTAAAGTCATGCTTGGAACTTTCAGCAATTGACAGTGACATTGAGGCTGCTGCAGGTACAGTAAAGACAATATATCCCAGTTTTTGTATGTTATTGTTATCGTTTTCACGAAGGGACAGGCGTGTCCAAATGTAAATTGTTCAATTTCTAATTTTTTTCACTCTTTTGCTTTAAAACATCGTACTCTGCCATTTTGACATATTTCCCTGAGCATTGATTTCAAAATTACATCAATGATACCAGGGGCAGGCATCTCGAAACTCGATTTTGTGTTTTCACGAAGAGTCCAAACATGTCTGCCCCTTGAACACGTACGAAACTTATTACCCAGAAGGCATAAATTTAAAGTAGGTCGATCGAGATTTTCATTTTCATGAAGGGACGGCATCTTGATTACATTTCCAGCTGTGTGTGCGTAAACATGTGCGTCCCTCCCTATGGGAAAATATTAAAAGACGAGTGTATAATAGGAGAATTGAAATGTTCGTGGGTCTTTTTGTTTGTTTGTTGGGGTGTTTGTTTGTTTGTTTTTGTTTTGATTTTTTTTGGGGGGGGGTTAAGGGGATAGGCATCTTACTGATTAATTTTGGCCAATTAACCACTGTGTTTATTCTAATTACTGGTTCGTTTACTGGGTTAAAGTTTACCTTTCAAAGAACCATGTAAAGGTTTCCCCACTGCATCAAGTTGTTGCAAAGTTCTGTACGAGTTTTTGTAGTTTCAAAATGGGAGAAACTTTTCGAAAACTGTTTTTTTTATCTGCAGAATCCACATATCATCCCATCGTTAAACCGGTTGCGTGTTATGCATGGAACCAAATACCTCTTTATCACCTGCTTGCATCTCATTTCTCCTTTAGTTGTATAAAATACGCGGTTCTTGCTTTATTTTTCTTCAGTAGTGTTGTCTTTGACCAAAGACTTTATTTTCATCCACGGTCGCTCATGCGTCCCTGGATGGCAGCGGTCTGGTGGATTAATCTCGCCATTAATTGGTCTGTCATATTATTTCTACTGGAAGACCTTGTGTAAAGATACCCAGGGCTGCAACCATTTGTAACAAATGTATTTGGCGATTTTTTTATATCTACGTTATGTTTAATTAAGGATAGATGAAGGTTGGTTGCGACTGAAGATGCTACCATTAAACACGAAGTTTATCTTCAACATGGCAAGTGTGATGTTCAGGACAGTTAAACTTTGACGTGGCCTTTCTTTTAATCTTTTCTAGACATTCAATATATTTACTAAAACACAACCTTAAATGTGGAAACCGAATGATTTTTAAATGTTTAAGTGCACGAAGAAAAAATCGATGGGTCCATGTATTGTCAAAAACGTGGATGAAATAAATGAACGATGGTGCTACCAACAACCAAATGGATTCACCCGGTTTTTGGTGTCACCGCCATAATAATATTAATTACCCAGTAGCTACGGGGTATGGTGCAGCTGCTCAAATACCGGCCAAACTGATAAACCTACAGGAAAGGACCTGTACAATTCTTTTGCTTCTAGTGAACCCCCCTCTAGAGCAGAGGACACTTAACGTTGGCGGGAAAATGACTGCTGTATTTGCAGACGGAAGTCCCTGCGCGATATTCACGTCATTCGGCACTTACCTCTGCTTCTTACAAGGCAATAATTCTGGGAAGTTCTCGTATCAAATTGCCCCTCTAACAATTATTACATGACGGCATAAGGAGCTTTGCTTCAATCACGATTGTGTAGTTTTCGTTGGATGGACATTGGAATTCTTACATATGTATGTTAATAGTTTCTTTCAAAACGATTTTTCGAATGAACATTTTAAATGTTGGAAGTCATTTCTTAAAAAAATGGTGCTCTGATTTTACTTTCTTATTTTCATAATTACTGTAGGCCTATATTATGTTCAGTTTTGTACTGCATTCTTGAGCGAATGGAACGATGCCCTGCCTTCTAGTTCAAACACAAATATTATGTTTTACAGTGCAAATACAGTGTATACTCAACCAAGTCCAGGAATAACTCCAAACAAAAACACCCCCGAGTGGGGAGAGTTGAGTCAAAAATGGATTTTCGTTTGCACGGCGGCACACTTTGGTTGGGCTTATTGTTTCGCGCTTGCAGACCAGAAGTATTTCCATAAAGTATTTTGCAATGACCGTGAGGGACATGGCGTGCAGAAAAACGAAGGGAAAGTGACAGGGGAGCGGAGAGCTACGGTTGGGCATCACGCCCGGATAAACCTCTAAATCGACCCGTTCACTCACTGCTCTTCATCAAAACCACAGCTGTATTTAAAGCCCTCCCCATCCTTCTTGGCAAATGTGCCATCGCCATGTCTCAAGTAGGATCAGACAAAGATGAGGGGCCTGTCAAAGACGGGAGATGTCTTAAATCGCTTGACGGAAGTTGATGGTACATGTATAACGCCTTAATTGGAAGGTGTGTTAGAAAGTGGATAGTGAA